GATATTAATTATAAGAATGACGATACGATGGAGACGGAGGATGGGAAGGGTCGGGCTAGTCTAGTCTGCACCGCTCCCCCCCGCCCTCCCCTCAGTCCCTCCAATTTGAGGGGGGAGGGCCTGACCGCAAAGTAGTTCTTGCCCATTTGATAAGTAAGGGAGTCGAAAAATGCTAGCCGTCAGAGCTCTGGGAAATAACAGCTGTCGAGACGACATGGGGCGACCACGCAGACCGTGGACTAAATGGTGATGTTGGGAAAGTCCTCGGTTTTCCAGGTTCTTTCAGCACACCAAGATATCTGTATTTGTGCGGTTATTCTGGCTTGAATTGCATCAAAAAGTTAATTAGTCATGCTGGTGGCTGCAACTATTAGCCCTGTAAAGACTGAAAGTATATGCGCCGTACCTCTTAAAACAGCTTCACAGGGGAACAGAAGACACTACGCGTTTTAGGTTCGTAAGTTCACGGCGTTTCAATCCTACCTAGGTCCCTATCCTGTGTACAATCGCACAAATTCTGCTTTGCTAGGATCACAGTCTGCGTTGTCAGCCTTAGCCGAAGATCAGTCCATTTAGCGTCGGTGCAAACCCCTATTAACAAACAAAATCCGCTAGCACAATGGAACTAATTTGGCCTTTCGTGTTGGAGTTCCTTTCTGGTACATCAGCTGATGTAGACAAGTCGATAGGGAGATGTCCGAGCAGTGTTTTATTTTGATGTGTTATTGGTTCCATTATAGAAGTACATTACAATATTAAATGTATTAATGCGAAGGCAGATGTCATATTTAATTGACCCAATTGTGAAAAATTGGTGGCCTCGGTGGGATTTGAACTCACACAGCAGGGAAGGCTTTAGGACAACCAACGCTCTACCACTGAGCTAAGAAGGCACATCGAATCTTTGAATTTAATCACACTTGGCTCTGCTAAAGCCTTCCCTGCTGTATAGCTTCGAATCCAAACGAGGCCACACCTTTCTCACAATCGGGTCAATTTAATTATTCAAGTCTGCCAAAAGTACAATGGCTGATAGAGACTTATAGTTATAAAGTAGCCTAACAAACGGAGAAAGGCTTCCAGATAGTGACACAGCACCGTTAGGCCCGAGGGGAGCCCTTAACACCTTGTAACTCCATGATAGATGCACCAATGAACAATAAAGAGGCAAAAGGGCCCTGAGCAAGTGACGAATACGACGTTAGAATGCAACTGCAGTTGCCGCTTTTTATTTTCTATTCTGACCACAAGATTTGTGTTGATAATATGCAATTTCAAATTAAA